GTGACATTTCACATGCATTTAATTAAGACATTTGAAATCACCTCGTTCAGTGGAATATGAAAAAAAATGTGGTCACGGTAAGTCGATCTAATACATATTTCTTATTATTACAACCTAAAACATTTTTGTTTTGACAATTTGACCAATGCTAGGTCAGTGGTTGATAAAACATAATGTTTATCGTACATCGTCAACAAAAATTACTCTAACATTCACACATGTCATATAATACTTGTACATCGTCATGTTTCTATCCAGATATTTTGTTATAAAATACTTGTTTTATTTTATAAATATATACATTAGATATAAGAAAGTGTTTAATAACAAAATATAAAATAATATAGTTCACTTTTGAAAGTTGATTTTCTAACAATGATTTTCTCTCTTTTCATCGTTATATTTTGTTTAATCCATAAAATTATTGTTATTTATTTATCTGTTTATTAAAATTTTCAATGAAGTGTAACTTATTATTATGTTTAGTAAAAATGAGTAGAAAGTGTACTTGGTAAAGTTTAATAAGGTATTTTGATTTGACAAATGAAATATGTATCACTCTACAAACATTAGTCTATTGCTACAAACATAGATATAATACAAACAAAAATGAATTATTGAATAAAAAAAAAAATTAAAAGAAGAGAGAGATAACACCATAAATAGATCATTACCTAACTTTTTTGTTTGTAAAAAAATTATCCACCTTAACAACTTGTGAATTCTCCAAGTGGTTATGTGGCAAGAAGTTATATTTGAACAACCATAATATATAGTAAGATAAGATAAGATTATTTTTATATTTTGTATTATTGATTTGTACACTTGTCATCTGATTTGTATAGTTTGTATACATTGCAATATTAGATTGTATATTTTTATTATATGTTTTGTACACTTTATTATATGGTTTTGTACCTTATCTATTTCTAATTTGTATAATATTTCTTCAATGCTTTGTATACTTTGAAATGTTACTTTATAATTTCTTGTCTTGCTAAAAATAGGAAGAACCCTGATAAAGAAAATAAATAAGGTAGATGGAAAAAGAGAAGTAGGAGAAAAGAATCTAACATCAAATTGTCAAATACAAACACATGAGGGAAAAAAATTGAAACAAATAAATAAATGATTGTTCATATGGCAAAAGATTATATCACTAAGTAAACGTCTCTTTCGCTATATTCAACTGTTAAATTTAAAAACTTAAAATTAAGAGAGATTTAATCATTTGACTAAACAATCTTTAATTTTTTTTTAATAGAAAAAACAATCTTTAGTTATGGGATCATTTTCCATCTAGTTGGAGAATAGAAGTAGAGAGAGGTTTCGAAAAAAGAAAGTAGAGAGAGGAGAAGAAAAGGGGAAAAGTGCAAGTTTGCTACATGGTTGTCATGCAGGTGGAATGAGAATCAATTTAATTTCTGGTTCAATTGGTGAGTTATGAAACTGGTATGAAAATCATCGGCATGATTGATTTACGACATTCAACTAAAATAATATTTTTTTAGTGAATTAGTTAACAAAAAATTTATTTTATTATTTATTTTATGAATTTAAAAGTTAAATGTTGATGTTATTTGTTGGGTTCAAATTATAAAAATTTAGGTATTAGCGTTAAATGTTTTATTTAAATATGAGTATTTGTTATTTAATTTAAATTTCATTTTTTATTTGAATATGAACCAACATAAACCAGTTATACAATTAATCAAATAATTTCACTTACTAAACCAGTACAACGATATAAACCAATTTTAGAACTTCCCGTGTTAATGGACGTAAAGGGAGATAAAATGGCGGCTAAAGCGTTTACCGGTCTGTCTGTGTCTCTCCAGTCTCCGCCCTTTCTCTTGTTTGTTTGGCCGGATGCCCATTCTAGAACAACTAGTTTGTTCCCGACCATTTCTTGGCCAATTTTAATTATTATTAATTATTTAGTGAAAATTTTATGTAACCTGTGGGTTGACCTACTTTTACCATGATCTGGTAAGAAAAACAGACCGCACACTTCCAACGGATTGATTGCTGCAAGGTATCGGGTTAGAGGTCAAACTGTGTCGTTTTTTTCTTTGGTTTGTGAAGTGCGCATATTTTTCGGTTGTCCTTTTCACCTAACTCAATCTTTAGAATTCTAAGTTGAACATTTGAATATTGATGTTATATAAGTGTGTGTGAATTTTCACTATACGTTGAATCTAAGTACGACATGTTATTTTAGTGTGATGTTATATGTTATTAGTTATTGCTCATATGATAGATGAGATTTGATATAATTTATAAATGCATGAACAATATAATGAATTTTTTCATATACTCGCACTAAAGCGGTTGAACCATTAATCCTCAATCTAGTTCCTCGAACGGGCCAACGGGCTAAACCGGATTGACAACCTTGGTAAACATATATGATATACTATAGTATCAATTTTGTTGTGATTAATATCAACAATGGAAAATGACATTAGATTTATTATTATTATAATTAAATAGAATTTGTTTCAATGGTTAGATACATTAAGAAAATTCATTGTAGCACCCATGATTAGGGTCTAATTGTACACATTTTACCAATCATTTTTTGATAGTTTGACTGTGCATTTCGCCGTCTCATGACTTATTTTACGCTAGGCTGTGTTATTTTTTATACATTTCAGGTCCTAGCATGTGTTGGAAGGTTGAGGACGAGTTCCAGGATGATTGGAGTCGATAAAGCGCCAAAAAGTGAAGTAAAGTGAAGGACAGTCCAAGGTCACGGGCAAAGGTCAAATGTCACGGTCACCTGACCGTGACAATTGATCAGAGGGCGTGAAAGTTCAAGTTCAAGGGCAGAGGTCAAATGTCACGGTCACCAGACAGTGACAATTGATCATTGGGCGTGAAGTCTGATGGAAACAGGATGTTTTGCGCACCTCACTGGACCTCGGTGTGTTCACAGTCTGATGACCGTGAAAATCATCCCTAGGTCGTGATGTGGACCCAAAACGACACTAGAGACCTGCGTTTTGGTCCAATGTTACGACTGTGACTTTTGACCGTGAAAAGTGTCTATCAGACTCTATAAATAAAAAGGCTGTTGGGAGAGAGAAAGGAGAGATTTTATAGGGTTTTAGTTTTCAGAATAAGGGAGGATCGCTAGTGAGGGATTAGGGTTTCTGCTTTCTATTTTAGAGAGAGAAAGTGTCATTCAAAGAAGGAAGAAGGAGATTTGGGCTTGTCCTAAGCTAGAGGAGTGAAGATTCTTACCTTTCAAGGGAGATTCAAGCAACAAGGAAGGAAAATTGTCATCTCTTCATGGTTATTTCTCTTCTTTTTCTAGTTTTCCCTTGCCTATCTATGGGAATAGCCTCCATACTCACTTGGGTATTGTGAATCCTAGTCTAGATGTGTGTAAGGATGTAAGAACTTGATTCTATTGTGTTGATTGAATGTTTATATAATATTTGAGGTACTTTCATGAATGATTGAATGTGCTAGCTTTAACTCATGATTGGGTCGTTTTGACCTAGGTGGAGAGAATCTCCTTGTTGAAAAAGGCCTTGAGAAGTTGGATTCTGAGCCAATTTGTGTCACACACGGCAAATTAGGACAAACCTTAAATTAATCATGATTAGTGAGTGTTGCTTGCATTATATCATTGTTGGGTCAAAATTAACCTAGAGGGTGAAAATCTCACTTTGGCCCATTGGGAGCTTGACCTCCTAGTCTCTTGGATAACCCCTTCTAGGTTAATCTAGGGCTAAAACCTCAAGTATCAGATTAGAACCATGATCCCACCATGATTGGTTTCTCGCCACCGTCCGGATTAAGTTCTGAGGGATTGGTTCGCAATCCTTAGTCGATCGATTTAGAGGGGCTAGATCGTCTAGCCTAGAGTTGCAGTTCTTAACCGAAAGGTTAAGAGAGTTATACCACTAACTTGATGCAATAATCCTAGGTTGGTCAACTAAGAGAGTTAGGGTTTTGTCTGTTGATCAGTAAAGAGAGCTAGATTCCCTAGCTTCTTGTCACAAACCTTAATCGATCAACTAGGAGAGTTTGCCCCTAGATAGTTGCACCCACCTTACGGTATATGAACACATCCTTCACACTAGAGTTTCGTTCATGCTTTCTTAATACGAAGACTAGGGGAAGCAATACCCAAGTGAAGTCCTCTCATATAGAATTCTCCTCGATTTACTTTTCGTATTTGTTTATTTTGTAGCGTTTTTATTTTTAAACCCAAAACTGTTTTCTAGATAACAACCTAAGTGATTGAAGTAGAAGGTACATGGACCGGCACGAGTTGACAACTTAAGTACTTGTCATATACTGCACCCAACTAGAGTTTAAAAATTTGGGCTCTAGCCGGGATTAATTCGCGGTGTAGTCCAAGCGAGTCAACCCACAAATTATTAATTCCAATCCCACTAATCACTATTTATATGATTAGTTACTTTTACTTGCCGTAAAACTTAAAAAAAATTAAAATAACTGAAATAATAAAATGACATGAAAATTAGACTGATGTGAATGTTTAAAATTTATAAATGTTTATTATTTATAAATTTTAATTTGAGAAAATACTTATTATATTCTATTAATTAACTATAATGATAAAAATAAATAAACACAGTCTGTATAAGGCTGCAAATGAGCCGAGCTACTCGCGAGCAACTCAAGGCTCGAATCGGGAAAAACTCGTTCGAAACTCGACTCGTTTACTAATGAGCCAAGCTTGAGTTTAGCTTTGTTAAGTTCGCGAGCTAGCTCGACTCGGTGGCTTGTTGAGCTCAACTCGTGAGTTGGCTCATTTATAGCTCATGAGATGTCTCAACATTGTGGTTTGATGGCAAACTTGATCACCGAATTATGGACGAATCGATCTAATTTGGACTTTCATAATTCATAGGATTGTTAAATTATGTATCTCACATCATGTTAAGTTTAACATGTTGAACATGTAAAAAATATGCCTTATTTTTAATTCTATAAAGAAATTATGTTCAAAATTGTTTCGATACTATGAAATAACATAATTTGAACTAGTTAAAATTTATTAACTAAACAATATCACACCTACAAATTATAATATAAGATTAATTAATGTTGAACATTTGATTATTTATTTATCGTTACATCACTCACATGTACCATACACAACATACAAAATGAATGTATAAAATACAATCTAAGAATTTAGTAAACAAGCTTAGCTCGAACTCGACTCAGCTCGTTAATAAATGGCTCGAGCTCGAGTTCAGCTCAGCTCATTTGCTATCGAGTCAAAGCTCAAACTGGGGTTAAACTCGACTCAGCTCGACTCATTTGCAGCACTAAGTTTGTACTCCTACCAACCAAAACCCATCCAAGGTCCGACCAAATACCTCCCTCCTTCCTTACGCATCTTTCCTACCCTACTCCCAGCTTTTCAGAAACAAAGGAAGAAAAAAAAAAGGGCCACAATCCATAATAGAGAACAAATATCCGAAGAGAGAAAATCAGAGAAATACGAAAGAACGAATCTCCTCTCTCCGCTTCTCTCTTTCAGAGCTGAGCTGAGCTGCAAATAACTCCCCAATCACCGACTCTTTCGTTTTCTTTCCACTTCCCGGGAAAGTTTCTCTGCAACTGTAAGTGCTCTCATGACGATCCGAATCTCAGTCGAATCTAAATCTTCATCTCTTTCTTTCCGTCGTTTAACGGGGCTCATCACTCTGTTCGTTTCTTCGTTGATTTCTGGCAATAGACCGATCTAGCAAGAGAGGAAACACAGGTGACAATGTGGGGGATCGTTGGACAAAGAGCTTGCCGCCATGGCTCCTCCGCTATGGTATTTGTTACATATTTTGTCGCTTGGCGCTTGTATTATACTGCCTTCTTGCCCTTCGCCTTGATTCCTTGGGGTTTTTTTTTCTTTCATTCTCTTTCTCATGTTTCTTCTCGTTTGATTGGATCAGTCACTGCAAGGGACTCGCCCTGTTATTCACGCGTTGAGGAGTTTCTCCACCGCAGCAAAAGAGGTAACAACTTCTCTTCCACCGGATTCAGGTTTTTGTGTGTTGGCACTATGCTAATCGGAATCTGTTATGAGGACGCACTTCTTTTCATATGCCATTAGTTATAATGGATTTTTCAGAATTTAAGGTGTATGTATGCTACCTGCTTTGTGAATCGAGACTCAATTAGGGTTAATTTTGATGCTGGGGTTGGTATATGTTTGTTGGCTGTTTTCTTATTCGTCGAAGTCTAATACTCCTTAGACATCATGCTGAACAATGGTTGATGATGAGTCTCGACCTTCGTTACGGTTTATCAGTTTTCTTCTGAACTTCTCAGATGACAGTAAGGGATGCTCTCAATTCTGCCATTGATGAAGAAATGTCTGCGGATCCCAAAGTCTTTTTGATGGGAGAGGAGGTAAATATAATACCTGCAATTTGTGGATCGTTAAACATTTTAAGCCAATCACAAAGTTGTATCTTTATTTATTTTATGTGATGTTTGTGTAGGTTGGAGAGTATCAAGGTGCATACAAGGTTAGATAAACTTCTCTTCTTTGATTAAGTTACGTTGTAGTAGTCTTATACTCAGAGCATCACAGTTATCTCATTGATCCATTACTTATCTACTTACGGGAAATTGTTTATCAGATCACTAAAGGCCTCTTGGAGAAGTATGGTCCTGACAGAGTTCTTGATACTCCAATTACCGAGGTTGTTACTTGGACTCTATAGAGTAGAAAAGGCTGGCATTCTTTTGTGGTGTTTTTTTTTTAATTTTTTGCTTCAAGGGGGATTCTTGTATGCCCTTTTCAATAGAAAACGATCTTCACTCGCTCCTCTCTTTAAACCTAGGCTGGCTTTACTGGTATTGGAGTTGGTGCAGCTTATCATGGGCTTAAGCCCATTGTAGAGTTCATGACATTCAACTTCTCCATGCAGGTAAAATTTTCTTTCTTTTAGTTGCGCTTTTTTATTGGTGGAGAAAAATAGCTGTGCTTTTAAGTTTTATCTTGTATGTATGGATGTTTGTTATTTTTAGTCTCAAGTTTCTTTGGTTCCCTTCAATTGACTGTTCAAATTTTTTAATACATGGCATATTTTGTGATTTGACTTCGTTCCCCCCCTCTTTTGTAGCACCGGCTGGCATTATCTTTTCTAGTAAATGCTGGTTCTTGTTGCTTGCTCTTGGTATCTTGGTGTTATGCAAGAAGTTTAACTCATCCCAATTTTTTCCAGGCTATTGATCATATAATCAATTCTGCTGCAAAATCAAATTACATGTCTGCTGGCCAGATTTCTGTCCCTATAGTCTTCAGGGGTCCAAATGGTGCTGCTGCTGGAGTGGGTGCTCAGCATTCTCAGGTGATTTACTAATGTTAATTTTTTTATGGTTTTATGACTCTTGTCTCTTTACTTCGAATGCAAATGGAAGATCTTTCAGTGGCCATTTGGATATCTAGTGATTGTGTAGTTTAGTAAAGTTCATGAGAATGAAGCATTACGAAACCATGTCAAGATAGTACTACTTACTGGGTTCTGTTGTTAAAGAAAGTGACTCTGTTTGTTGTCTTAATATAATAAGTCGTGATGGTGATTTGGATGGTTAACAATGCTGCTGGAACTATTTTCGCGATTTTAGTTTATTCTCTTTGGATGAGTGACCATGCCCAGCTTAAGTTAATACCTTCCAAGTGTGTTCTCGTGAATGCCTAACAATACAACTTTATAATTGGCTATTAGAGGCCAATAGAGTTTCAGAGGCTCTTATGCAGCGCGTTTAACCTCTTAATTAGGATGATTACTCATTTGATTTGCTCTTGAAATTTCTTGTAATGCAGTGTTATGCATCATGGTATGCTTCCTGTCCTGGCCTGAAGGTCCTTGCTCCATATTCTTCAGAAGATGCTCGTGGCCTTATGAAGGCTGCTATTAGAGATCCAGATCCAGTTGTCTTCCTAGAAAATGAGCTCTTGTGAGTATTCTATTATTCATGGCCTTTTACGTAAGTACTGTACTTGGCCGTTTAGTTGCTCATGTTATTCCAGAGTCATGATTATGATTGGTCTTGAATTCATCATGTAGGTACGGTGAGTCGTTTCCAGTTTCAGCTGAAGTTCTTGATTCCAGTTTCTGTCTTCCCATAGGCAAAGCTAAGGTACATGTTTTAATGATTGCTTTTTTCCCCTTATTTCTCTTTTCTTTGGGTAGCCGTACTACCTTCTTAGCTAGATGATTAATTCTGTAATAATTGTACTTGTTGATTAGATTGAAAGAGAAGGCAAAGATGTAACCATTACTGCTTTCTCAAAGATGGTCGGATATGCTCTCAAGGTATGCTGTTCGTGTCTGTGGTAAGGTATAAGTACATAATTTGAATGGATGCAGCCATGACAAGAGGCGAGGGTGACTTCAAATGTTGCGTTATTTGATCACACTTGCTACCGTATCGACCACTGGACATGTATCTTTTCTGATTCATCCTGTGCATTGTGTAGGCTGCTGAAATTCTTTCTAAAGAAGGGATAAGTGCAGAGGTAATTTTCACTCTGCTTTCTACAACTAAGTATATTGTTATATTTAGTCTTGTAAAAAATAGTAAGTGCTTGTAACACATGCAGGTTATAAATCTGCGATCTATTCGTCCCCTTGATAGAGCCACGATCAACAACTCTGTCAGGAAAACTAACAGACTGGTTACTGTTGAAGAAGGATTTCCTCAACATGGAATTGGTGCTGAGATATGGTAAATCTATCCTTGGACTAATTCTCGTGGCCAACCAACCTAGAATCCATCTTTGTGTTTTTATTAAAAACCCATTGTGCGACTCCTTTGCAACAGTGCATCAGTGGTTGAGGATAGCTTTGAATATCTTGATGCGGCCATTGAGAGGATTGCAGGAGCTGATGTTCCCATGCCATATGCCGCAAACCTAGAGAGACTGGCTGTCCCACAGGTTTGTGATCCATACATACTCTACTTTTGGCTGTTAAGTGCCGTGATTTCATCCTCGTTGAAGTACAAATTAGAATTACACCCCGCTCACTACTTTACAGGTTGAAGATATTGTCCGTGCTGCCAAGAGGACTTGCTATCGATCATCTTCATTGGCTGCAACGGCATAGTTTGCTGCAGAACCCCAGCATAATTTGACTTGTCTTTTTTGGCGAACAATGACTGTTATTCGTTTCCCAGTCTGCATGGGGCCAAAGGTCAGGCAGCAATCACCATGTGGACTGGCTTAGCGGATCCACTCTCATGGTGGACCACAGTGATGAATATAAAGGCACTCTTTTCCCCAAGAAAATAAAGAGTTCACCACACACCATTTTTCAGCAACTTATACCCCAGAATGATTGATTTGCATAGCTGTACTAGTTTCCAGGATCGAACTGTTCGCCTATCTTGTTAGCTTTCATTTGTGATGTGCAAAAGGTCTCTCTATTATCACAAGCTCGAGAAGTTGCTGGTGCATTCTTCATGTTTGATAAGTGACGACTGTACAACTAAATAAACTAAGTACAGGCCAAAAATTTATTCACAAAAGCAATAGGTGCTGGTGCATTGTTCAGGGAGCTTCGACACCAATATGCTTTATCGGATTGGTGTACAAAACCAAATTGAGCAAATTAACAGAGGAATCCTCCTGCACGAGAAGGGAGAACTGCAATAGCTAATCCTCGCTTTATCTATCTACCTACCTGTCTGCCTACGGCTCCCAAAATTCTCCGACTTGCATTTGAACAACAGATCCATTGATAGCCCTATTGTTGAACCATTAAACGGAGGAATGAACTTCCTCGATGGGCCTATCTGGGCACTACCGTCCTTGCTGTTTCTCCTCCTGGAAGAACCTCCAGAGCTACCAGCACTTTTAGTAGATGTCGATGATGCATTTGAAGTAAACACCGAAGAGCTGAAAGATGCTTTGGGCATCCCATCATCCAGCAGACGACGTCCTCCAACTTCTCCATCCTGGTGTGGAGGTGGGAACTTTTCGCTTTTGCGCTTAGCATTTGCTTGCGTCACAAGCCTCCATCTCTGCAATACCACAAAACAGAAGTAGAAGAGAGGAAAAGACAGAATGAGACGGCCAGCTGATGGGGAACTCTTTTTACATACATCTACGTTTGCTGGAATCTCAGCATTAGCCTCAGCGGCCGGGACAGCACGACCAGGCCGATTTCGAACTTTTCTTGCACCTTCAGCACCATTACCTTTACCACTAAGTCCCCTTTGTCTATCAGCCAACCGTTATCATCAGCATATGCAGCAAACAAAAATATGATGACGATGAAAAGAATTTACAGTCTGCTGCTAGCTAACCTTCTTGCTTCTTCATCTCTCAATTTCACATCCAGTTCCTTGCTAGGCGGATAAATGGGCAAACTACATGGCTGGTAAGCAACAGGTTCTTTGCTAAAGAATTGTACACAGATGAATCGTTGCATGTTATACGTCATTTACCATGCCTCATACCATTTTATATGACAAAAAAGTACTTCTCATTTATACCAAGCAATAAAACTGACATGAGGGTATCAACCTAGACATCTACTACTTCACATTACTGACAATTAATATACTTGAACGCAAACACTTCCACTTGATATCAGAATATCGAGTTGGTATATGACACTCGCCTCACTATTGAGAGCAGAAGTGGCAGTGCCTCGTTCCTCTAGGTCTATCAAAAGCAAAGTCTGAATCAAAGGCATGGATCATGGTGGGAAACCCTTGAAAGCCTCTACTAGCAAGCAGTTGTTGTTAGAATATCAAGTATCAAATTGTAATTAGCCATGGTAATTAGGAGTTAGTAGGATTATTGCCGTTTAACCTAGTATGCTCTCTAAGTATATATGAGCATTAGGGCTGCCGATCTCTAGATAGATTCTTTGTGAATAAGATTATTTCTGCCTGGTGCCGTGGACTAGTCCCAACAATCAAACGTTGGGGAAACCACGTAAATCTCGTCTTGTGTTCTTGTTCTTCCGCTCTTGATTATATTTGACATGGTATCACAACCTCTCCAATTCATCTAGTCAAATTTTCTGGGGTTCGTGTGCTGCTTCTTGGGATTTCGCAGCTTGTTCTTGGTTTTCGTTCGTGGGTGCTGCAGTAGGTGTCTTTGTAGCTTATTCTATTTTGCTTGGACTTCCCGCCGTGTTCCAGGTTCAGCCCTTGTTCTTGTTGCTGTGCGCTACTCTAGCTCCCTTTTGTTTATCTTTGGTCATGGATTCAATTAAGATTGAAGCTGTCTCTGTTAAGCTGAACAGAAAGAACTTCCCCCTTTCGGAGTTCCAATTTCTCCTGTTTGTTCAAGGGAAGTGATTGCTCCCTGTCCTGGATGGTTCAGCCAAGGCTTCCTCCGCAGATGCTGATCCGAAACAGCTTGAGGCTTGGGCTATGAGCAATGCTCAGGTCGCCAGCATGCTATTATCTTCCATTGAGCCCTCGATCGGTCTGGGATTGAGGGGCTTTTCCACTGCCCATGCCATGTGGCAGCATCTGGTCAATCTCCACACTCATGTCAGCACTTCTCGTAAGTTCGACATTGACCTTGATCTTGCTCGTTTACAGCAAGGTGAGCTTGATATCAAATCCTATTATCGAGCTGCCCTCCAATTATGGACTGAACATGATCTGATCAGTCAGTCCATCCTTTCCGGCGAGGCCACTACTAAAGTTATGAAGGAGCGTGCTAGTTCCCTTCTTATGACGTTTCTCATGAAGCTCAATCCGAGCTTTGAATCGGTTCGTGCTTCTTTGCTGCCATCTCCCATCTCCAATTCCTCCACTCGATGGACACAGAAGAAAAGGGGAAAAAAACAGTACCTTGTAGCTCTCTCTGTGCCTCTTCGATGGCCTTGTAATTAGGGACTTTGCTTGGAAAAATTAGGGATTGGGCTCCAGCGACGAATCCACCGCGCAGCTTTCCCCCTCCACTCACAGTAGGGGTCCTTCGGTTGGACGATGGTGGGAGCGTCGGGGAGGAGGAAATCCCGATTGAATAGGAGGCGACGCAGCAACAGATCTACAAGGCGCCAGATTACCCATCGTTCGAAGCAAACCCAGATATAAAAGTCGCTGAGTGATGCACTTGGTCCTTCTCCTATTCGATGACCGGTGCTTATCCATCAAGACCTGCTCGTCAGAAGGAGAATCGCCTAGACAAAGGGTGGAAAAGGCTATGTGCTATGTTTTTAATTTTTATAGAAATTGAGCCGGGATCAGCAATCTTCTTCCTCTCGCCGTCAGCAACAGATCCGGCACCACTGGCTCTCTATCTCACTCGTCACTCTGTTTCTTTGTTTCTTATGGTTATCACCGGCGGGCGGCGACTATCTCTAATTGCTTTTGTTGACTTTGTAATTTGCATGATGAGTAAGGAGGAGGCGAATCAAGCGGGCTCTAAGGAGTAAAGAGGAGAGGAAGAAGACGAGCTAATAAGAGTGCAGGACCCTGACGAAGAGCTGGTTTTCATAGCGCTGATTTTGGCCTTGGCGGTGGCGGTGGAGGCTTGTAGCTTTTTCACTTCCCGGCGTCGGAGCAATGGGGGATGGGGCCAAAAGGAACATGTGATTTGGAGTTTGGTCCACATCAGCAGTGGAGGATGAGGGAATCAGTTCTTGGGCAAAAATGAGGGTTTAGTTTTTTTTTTCTTTCTTAAATTGACCTGTAACAGTCCGGTCAGCAGTTTTGTTTGTCATGTCATTAAAAAACTGACGGAGTTAACGGAATTTGACGGAGACTGACGGCCAGTGACTAATGGTGAAACGATTTGTAAAGTTAGTGGCCAATAAGAAAGAAAAGTAATTCGAGTGGCAAACATGAAAAATTAATGTAATTTGAGTGACCAAACATGTAATTTACCCGGAAAAAAAGTGTATTATGTTATTACAACAACTCATTCTATTTTATAGTCATAGGCCAATTACAATGATCCTCCAACTAAATATTTTTGACACACAACTCACAAGTCCTAATCATTACAAAAGGCTTCAATTACGAACTCAACATGGGAGAAGATGGAAGAAATGGCCAAATGGGAACTGGGTAGAATAATAGAGATAGTCGTTGGCTGGTAGGGGAAAAGTAGGGGAGATGAGCGTTGGGGCAGTTGGATTCTCGATTTGTCTACTAAGAACAAAGACGATGGATGGGATTAGGTGCTAACCCCTGTAAGGGTTAGCACCGTGATAACTAGCAAAAAACGCTACTAAAAATAACGAAATCACTACGGATTATTATAAAATCAATACATCTAAGCTAAATCACTACTAATTCAAACTAGTAGTAGTTTTTCCCTTGGTTAGGACGGTGCTAACTATTGTACAATTAGCACCGTAACTCCTCCCTGGTTAAGCATGTAATCACTTCTTTTTATTATTATGAGTACATGCAATCAATTCAGGACCATTACAGAGGGAGGAACGAGGGTGGATGTGAGGAGGTTGTTCCAGAGGGAGGAAGAGATGCGACTTTGAGGGGGATTTGGATCTTAGAAAGAAGGATGAGGACGACGTTGCTTCTGGCTCGGAGAGGAAGAAGAGATGATGCAGAGAGAAGAAGACTAGAAGATGCAGCACCCATCAAATATCTCCCTTCTATCTGACGATATATCTCCAAAAATCCTACTGTCTCCATCAAAAGGGAAAACCCCATCGAGTAACTGAGGATAATTTGAGGAAACTACCAAGCAGGAACAAACTCAATCAGTTGATAATGACAGTGGAAACCAGAATCCACCATGAATATAAGATGCAAGCATAGAAAATTTCTCCCTTTCATTCATTCAGAGAGCTACTAGAGAACACGCAATTGATTCAGGCAATCTCTATCCTTGCATGAAGATGCAAATAAATGGATGGAACATCAAAATAGTTACTCACTTTTCACAATTCAGGAGTAAATTAAGAGAGATAAGCCTATACATGCTATTCATACCCAAATATTGGTGATCTTAACTTAAAAGTTAATACCCCCGTCATTTGGAAGCTTGATCTTCAAGAGCAAAGCCTTTCCAGAGCCAAGTTCTCATCCCCACCAACAGCATCCAGTGTACTCCTCGCCAATGCTTCTGGGAATCCCATTTCAACAAGTTTCTGCACCTAAATCCAACAACCGAGCAACATATTGGTAAGGCCAACGACCTAATTTTTCTCTTAAAACGAACAGAACGTGGATCAGATAATTTGGCTTATTTTTCCATGAATAACAAGGATTATATCATTGAAATTGTAGGCACCTTTTCCTCAACTCCAAGAGAGGAGACCTTAGCAAAAGTTTCAGTCCAGTAGCGAGCTGTGCCAACAAAGGTCTGGTACTCCTTGAGATACTGCATTTAACCACAGAAACTAATTCAGCATAAGAGGAATTTGAGTAGAGTGTTAGAGCATGGATGGCCTAGAACCGGAAGCAAGCCTAGGAAAGGTGAGATGAGCAAAGCTACTGCTCGTTAGTCAGGAGCGTGACCTGCTGTGCTACAACTGCATCTTGAGGGTCATCAGGTTCAGGAGAAGAGAGAAGTGCTTGGACCGATAGCAGAGCTGTCTTTAGCGTTAGAGCTGGACTCCATTGGTCTTTCAAGATGTCTAGGCAAATAGCTCCACTCTGACTGCTAATATTTGGGTGCCTTCAGAGATAGCCACAATGTATCAAAGAATAAAACATCACCATATCAAACAAGATATAATCATTCTCTTCAAACAATTAGCAACTCTACATGTCTAGTTCGTAAGCCTAATCAAAAGAAGTGTTCAGAGATACCACAAAACCAGTTCACTTCTTCATAGTACCACAGCATGATTCATCATACAAACAAGGGTTCCTGAATACATGCTTAGCAACGGAATGAATGGATAGTCTTAAAGAGAAGAAGCTAACTTAAGCCCCAGCACAAAAATTACAGCAATCAAACAATTCAGGAACGCTATAAATTCATAACGATCCATTGACCAACAGGAGTACATGACCAAGTTCAACCTCAATAAAGCAACTCTTTTTGGCCATGACAACATCAATCAATTATAATACTCCATCCAGTGCTCACTTTACTAACGCAGAATCAACGTTGGCAGAGAGAATAAGTGACTAGAGAGTTGCCCCTTACCAGACTTTGGTAACGAAATTCATTTTAGGAGGCTCGAATGGGTAGCCATCTGCAAAATAAGGAATTATACGCAGAGGTTCATTCTTTGTAGCTCATTTCACGACACAGTAATACAAAACTGAAGAAACCCCTCTGGCTACCCATAAGGCCACAATCAGTTAGTCTGAAAGAGAAAAACCCTACCAACCCAAAAGTGAAATTGGCATCGTTCTTTCCGAAGAACCATAAAATTCCCCTTGGATGGCAGCGGAATTTTAAGAAACCCAGAACGGTGTAGGGCAATGATTAGCATTTCCACGAAGAGGGAAGGGCGAGAAAACCTGGAAGAGAGATGTCAATTTGGAAAGAGCCGCCTTCGTAAGGAGTACCCACAGGGCCAGGGATGGTGCCGGTGAGGCGAGCGAGACTGTCGGATTTAGGGGAAACTTTGATGCCGGAGGCTTCCATGTCTCTGGTACATTCCTGGAGCTCCTTCTGAACTCGACCGAAGTCGATCATGTCTCGGCGGAGAGAGAGTCAGACAGAGAAATCGATCAGACGCTTCGTTGCTAAATGCTAACCAGAAAAATCAAAGAACGCCGTGAAACAAAAGGGGAAAAGCCGAAAAGGGGAAGGGTAGAGTGGAGAAGATATGAAGCTAAAGCAGATACAACAGCAGAGAGAAGAAAGAGGAAAATGAAAACAAATTGAAAGAAGTTTTTGGCTCTCTCTCGCACACAAACTTTCGGACGTCGGAAAAGAATAGATGCTCTCTTTTGGGTGCGCAATCGCCACCGCTATGCTAAACCCTCCCAATGTGGCAGTGTCATGGTTGTCAAACCGGTAGGGCGGTTCAACCTGAGTCGGTTTCCAAACCAGCTCCCAACACAATTGATTTTTTTTTATAAAGAATGCCTGTATGCATATTATTTATTCATAGTTTTGAGCATTATAGTCATGACTAATTTGGGGGAATAATAAAGATAGGTGGTCGGTCGAACCATATCGCGGTCTCCTCCTATCGGTAGAGAACCCGAGCCATCTGATGGGCCACAACATTTCCTTCCCTCTCCCAAAATCGCCATCTCACATCTCCTCCTTTTGCAACCTCCCTTATCTCCTCACAAATTGTTTCAATTTCTAGATTTATGTTCTCCTTTCCCTGCAATTTGAACACAAGACTTTGGCAATCAATCTCCATAATCACTAGGAGCAGTTGGTGTTGTTTCACCAGCTTCAATCCCCATAGAAAAGGCTGTACCTCTGCCATTTCCGGGCTCCAGCTGTTCTTGTTCGACACACAACTGCCATGACAAAACCTCCTTCATTCCGAACTAACACTCCATACATCGTTCCCCCGTCCTTCCGTGTGCATGCATCCACATTAGCCTTCAATCCTCCATCTGGTTTCTCCTAGCGGTAGCTCCGACTTGATCGTTCCCACGGCAAATCCGACCCCTGAGCTTTTCGATACTCCTCTAGGTAATTCTGGCTCTCTCAATTATTTCCCGTTCTTCCAGCTTAGAATTGTTGAACTGGTGGTTGTTTCTTTCCTTCCAAAGGAACCAAATTGTGATTAGGAATTCACATAGCTATTCATCTTCCGTCTTCTCCAGTAGTTCACATAGCCAATCTGCACAACTTCTTTCTTCTCCCATTTCGAACAGTTGTCTGAGAAAAATAGGTCTCCATATCCGTCCCACCCAGTCACATTCTCTAGTAATATGTTCTTGTATCTCAACTAGCCCACAAAACGGACACTCTTCATTCGCTTCGGGTATACGCTTTGCTAGATTCTTTCCCATAGGTAAAATGTTTTTACACCATCTCCAGATAAACACTCGCACTTTCGGTGGGAGTTTCAAATGCCACAGTCTGTTCCAATCAATTTGCCCATATTGCCCTGGTTGATTATTCATATGTTTCATCCTCCACTCATGGTACCCCAGCTTAACCATATAGAAACATGTCTTCCCTCTGCCCCAACACCATCTGTCCGGTTTGGGTCTTACTGGAATGGGGATTGACTTAATCCTCTCCCGATCAATAGGCTGGAAGTGTTGTTGTAGTATTTACTTCGCCATGATCGTGTGGATTGATCAATCAAATCCACCACCCTTGCATTCATCCCTAAACCTGTAACCGAGGTTTGTATTTTTAAAATCTTCTGCCCCTGGTATCCATCTATCCCACCAAATTTTGATGCTTTTCCCATCTTCCACTCTCCATCTCGTTCCATCCTTCACCAGCCCCTTTGCAGCCATGATGCTCCTCCATATGTAGCTTGGGTTGTTCCCTATCTCAGCCTCCTAAATATTTGTATAAGGATAATACTTTGCTTTTAAAACTCGAGCAACCAGGGTATTTGGGTTCTGTAGGCGGTTCCAGACCCGTCGACCCAGTACTTAAGTTGAAACCATGGAGGTCTCGAAATCCCATACCCCCTTCCCTCTTTGGCTTGCTCGGCTTTTCCCATTTCAACCAATGTATCCTTCTTTTCCCACCAGAAACCATATATGATACTATGCATTTCGTTGATCACCCCTTGAGGGATTAGAAATACAGACATAGCATACATTGCTTGCGCTTGAGCAATGGCTGTGATCATATGCTCTTTGGAAGCATTCGTAAGTAACTTTCTCTTCAACAATTCTACTGTTTTCCTCACCTTGTCAATGAGTTGGGTGAAAAGTTTACCTGCCAATAATCGTTGGTAGGCCCAAATATTTTTCATGTTGCAGAACATGCTTCATTCCAAATAAATTGGCCATTTCTTCTCTTTGTGCTACATCTACATTATTGTTGAAAGTTAGCTCTGGCTTTACCAAACTCACTTGGATGCATAAGTATCCATGATCCATTTTAGATTCTCCCTTTCCTGTTTTTTGTTCTCAAAGAAAAATATGGTTGTCGTCCATGAGCAACAATTGTGTGATCATTGGGGCGTCTTTGTTGACCTTTATTCCATGGAGTCTTCCTTCTTGAACTGCCTTTTCTGTTAGAGAAGATAGACCTTCTGCACACAATAGAAAAAAATATGGTGATAGTGGATCACCTTGCCTGATTCCTCTTGTTGGGTAAATTACTTTTGTGTGGTGTCCATTTACTAGGGTCGCATATATCACTATAGTCACGCACTGCATCATAACATCAACCCAGCATTGTGAAAATTCCATTTTCTTCATAACCTTTGCCAGAAAGTTCCACTCGACATGGTCATAAGCTTTCGCTATGTCTAGCTTAGTTGCCACAAATCCTTTCTTCCCTTCTGTTCAAGTTTTCAGAACATGGAAACATTCAAAAGCTAGCATGATATTATTTGTAATCAGTCTTCCAGGCACAAAATCATATGAGTTTCATGGATCACAATATTTAGTACTTTCTTGAGTCTATTTGCCATCAGGTTTGAGAAGATTTTGTAAATTACTCTGCAGAGGCTGATAGGCCGAAAATTCTTTGGGCTTGTTGGTTGTTTCACCTTTGGGATTAGAGCTATTAGAGTTTGATTTATCTCTTGTGGTATAACTCTTTCCTTGAAACATTTTTGCAGTTCTTCCACTGTCACCCAGTTTTTCTGAAAGAAGAGAGCTGGAAGGCCGTCCACTCCAGGCGCTTTCAAAGGAGCCATTAGTTTCAAAGCAGACCATAATTCTTCCGCATCTATAGGTTTGAGAATTTCTCTATTCATTTCCTTGGATATTTTCATTGGTATGGCATCTAGGACAAAGTGAGTAGTGGGTTCCGGTCTTGCTAAGAAGAGGTTTTGGAGATAATTGGTCACACAAAGCGAGGCAGCTTGCTGACCCCTATACACCTCCCCTTCCTCTCCTGCAACTCCACAATAGTGTTTATCCTTCGCCTGATTGTAGCTTTTTGGTGAAAGAACTTAGTGTTTGCATCCCCCTTCTTTAGCCGGTCATTCCTAGAACGTTGTTTCCAAATAATTTCTTCTTGATGCAGCAGCTCATTAAGCTCTCGTTCCAGGAAATTCCTTTGTAGTATCAATGTTTTATTCTTTTTTTGTTTGGCTATCTTCTCTAATATTTTCTTAGTCTTCTTTTTTCTCCTCCTTATGTCTCCAAACGTGGCTTTGCTCCACTTCATGAGTTGTTGCTCACAACCTTTAGTTCTAGCCTCGATTCCCAGACTAGGGTCCTTATTCCATTCCTGAGAAATTAGAGGTGAACAATCCTCATGCTTTTGCCAAAAAGACTCAAACTGAAAGTGCCTTCCCCATTTAATTTGATAATCTTCCAAATGAAGTTGTAATCTAATTGGGAGATATCTGATACCCACCTGGGTAAATGGTAAATCTGAGCATCCTTATACCTGCTTCGTCAATCATAGTTTGCTACAATTCGTCAAGCCTTTCTTCCAGAAAGTCATCGTCCTCTCGGCCGTTATCCTAAGTAAAAATATTTCCATTGTAACCCAAATCTTCCAATCCACACTCAACCAAACCCTCCCTAAAGCCTTCCATGCTCTGTTCATCGGGTAATTTGGCGTCATTCTTCTCTTCATAACCAAGACTTGGTTGAAATCACCAATCAGGAGCCATGGAAGATCACTATACCGCTTAAGTCTTCTCATCAACTCCCATGTCCTTTTCTTATTGCCTTGCTCTGGTCAGCCATACAGTTCAGTTAATCTCCATGCTTTATCTGGATTTTGTTCGTCTGTTGTTACATCAATATAATTCTCATCAAAATCCTTCACTGTTACCTTGATGTGCTCCTTCCACATTAGCAACAATCCCCCTGCTTGCTTGCTTGATCCAACCCCTTTCCCCTTTTCCCATCCCATTTTCCCCAGTAACTCCACCCATTAAGTCTCATGCTTCTTTGTCTCCATTAAGAAGACAATGTCGGGGTCCTGCTCTCTGAGTAGCTCAGCTACCCTCTTCACTGTTGTGGTTTCCCCAACCCACGACAGTTATAGCTTATGATACTCATTGGGCTGGGCGGCCTTGTGTGTTCACAAGGTCCGCCTTTCCGCCATCCAAAGTTATTTTAAAATCATTGACTCGTCATTTTGAGGGTTTTTATCTACCCCCTAGTGATTCTCCAGACTTCCCAAGTTGAGCATTCTCTGGAATCTTAGCTTGCTTTTTTCCTTCCTCTTCATCTTGGTGAAAAAATACACTGTCTATACCCGTTCTCTCAGTTCATCTCTTTGGGGTTTGCCTGTGCCAGTTTGGGATTTGTTATGTGGGGTTTGCCTGTGCCAACCCTTAGGCCGTTGTTTTGATTCTGTATAGCCTCCTATCCCCAGACTAAAACTCAATGTGGTACTTCCAACTAGCTCAGCCTTTTCCATTTCGTCCTGTCTCACCTCCATATCCTCCACATTATCTCCCCTACAAGCAATGGCTTCTTGTTTATCAACTTCAATCGTTCCACTATTGCTTCTGGCTTCTCTTTCACTTTCCGATACCCCAAAGATTTTTTTTTTCATAGACGGAATGATTTTTGTTCTGGTAGTGCTCAGGATAACAATGGTCTGTTTCCTTCCAATTTGCTTTTGTGTGTCGAAGGGCCTCCAATCTCATTTTTTAGTCTTTGTCTCTCTATCAAACTTCGCCTTTAGCGCCATCCACAGTTCATCTGCTTTCTCCTTCTTTCATTCGGTAGAAACTGTTTCCTTCATGCATTTTAGCTTTGGGAGCTTGTCTAAGGCAGAAGGTGAGTTGAGTTTTTGCAGTGTCTTAATTTCGTTTTCACTGTGGTGGTGGGTTGGATGTCACCTTGGCCTGGCATTAAAATGTGAAACGATATCATATTGCAGGTGGTTGTAGTGACAGTTGCGTGTATGCATATCCGCAGCTCATACCAAGGAAGACCTTGTGAAGGCCTTGGGGGTCTGTTCCTCTTAGCCTTCCGTGATTAATATGTTTTCTGTTAAACTCTGGCACCACAGAAAAACTCACCATATTCTTTTTGGCGCCTTATATGGACGATTCTTTTTCTGTCCTGTTTTTAACAGGATATCAGTGGTGTGGGCGACCGAGCACTTCTACTATGCTATATAGCATTGGTGCTTTAATGTACAACTTGAAGTTGTACCATAACATTAAATGTATAAGTTTAGGTTGTACCATAAAGAAATTTGTATCATTATGTTATGGTACAACTTTACAACTTGAAGTTGTACCATCACATAAGGTACAAGTTTAAGTTGTACCATAAAAGAATTTGTACAAAAAGTATAGGTACAATATGAAGTTGTACCATAACGTTAAACGTACAATTTCAAGTTGTACCATAAAGGCAAAAACCTATAGCACCAATGCTATATAGCATTGTAGAATTCCTCGTGGGCGACCTCTTGGGCATCAAGTACCTTCCCAGCTGAACTTAACAAGCAACACCACTACACCAGGAGCAAGGTACTATCAAGTTGGAGTGACTACCAAGATTTTGCAGTTGTCTTACAAAAACACTGGGGAGAGCCCCATCTTTTGTTTTAATATCAACGACTGAGATGTGACTGAGTACTGGTCGTATTCCATAGTTTCGCAAGCGTTAGCTACAAACGATTTTGTTTTGGAGCATTTCAAAATACTTGTGCGTTTTTTTACTTGTACTAGCAGAAACCCGCTCGCTATCACTTCGCGTATCAGAAAAAGTAAAAAAAATGAAAGTAATCTTATTTCATTCTTAATAATTCTTTTAATATGTTTGTTATTTACAATAGCATATGGTTGATTAACTTGCATAAGGTAGAAGGGTTGTCGAATAGATTATTTATGTTTAAACTTATTTCATCACGCTAATGTTTCAATTTGTATGGTTAGTAGTTGATCCTGCTATAACTTTTGCCGAATGAAGCAACTTCTTTGGATATGTTCAAGAAGTATTTAAAAAAACTGTTGAGGTTTAGCTGAAAATTATTAGAATTACTTTCTAATATAAGAGGTAATGAAAAATGACAAAAAAAGATTTCTAACATAAAATATGAATACAAATTCAAAAATAAAAAAGTATTTACAATGGATCATGTTAGATGTATTTCATATTAAATAATATGATTTTTCAATTTATTTTTTTATAATGATATAAATGTAAGAAAATTATGTTTTATAGAAAAAAAAAATATATGGTAAGAACATTGTATTTTCAAATCACAACTTCTGCTTTTAAGTTACGAAAAACTTCAGGTTTTTAAAAAGCGAAACTTTATAGGTCTTTGGCTTGGCTTCAACTTTTGAAACATAAAACTTTCAAAATTCGGGCCAAACATAATCTTACTATTTTGGCTTTTTTGTTTTTGTTTTTGTTTGAGGTAATC